CAAAAGAGATTTTGGATAAATATTTATAACAAAATATGGTGGCTATAAAAATTCTCAAGACTATAAGAATTACCTTTTTTGCAAATTATAAACAAATGATTATTGGTCTATTTTATTAATTATTTTATGTGCGATTACATAATTTAGCAATAGAATTTGTAATTTTATTATGCAATTGATCGATAAAATTTATAATTTTATGAAATAAATTAGAATAATTTAGAATTTTTATGAGAACAAAAATCTTAAGAAAAAAGTAATGTAATAGGACTATTATAATTTAATTAATCTATATAATGTATTATAAATAGTTTATATAAGTAATATAGTTAATATAATTAACTTAATAGATATATTTAATTTATGTAACATAAGAAAGTACAGATTAAAATTTCAAACATATCAAATACATTTAATATATCTAATATGTTTGATATATCTGATATATTTAATTTATCAAATATATCTAACATATATGATATATTAGATATATATAATTTATTTGTTATATCCATTTATGTATTAAATTTAATATAAATAGAGAATGATAAAATCATGTAATTCAGTTTAACTTTTAGTTTATATTTTAATTTTATTTTTAGATACATATTATCACAGGGTTCATTTTTATTTATCTTAACGTTTAAGTTGAGAGACTGTAGCAGCTGATTTTACACGTTAGAGTTTTTGACCTTAGGATTTTTTCTAAGTCCTACAGGTATCTGTTATACTTGAATCAACTTGGCAATTTACCATGTCTTATAATTTAAGATATATTTAATCAAACTCATAATAACGAACTTAATAGCAAGTTAGTATAAGGTATTACAACAATTTTAGATGAGAAATAACATTGAAGGGAAAAGTAGATTATATGTAGATTTAAATTGATTCCTTTATTTATAATACTAAAACTTGCAAGTAATTTATAAATGAGTTAATAAACTTACAAAGGAGTTAATTTACAACTTAAGCAAAAAGTTATTCTATTTATACAAAATTAATTTGCTACAGTTAACTACTTGTTACGCTATAAATTAACTAAATATAGATATATATTTCAATAAAAATATACTTAAATATAATAAAATATTAAAAATAATATAAACTATAAAAATAATAAAAAGAAATAAAATAAATTTCAGAAATTAAAGAAATTATAGGTGAAACAGAATAAATAGAATAAACAGGCTGTACAAAAAATACAGAAGAAACAAGCGAATCAGGTAAAACAGAAATTATTGCTGATCACTGTTTAGTATAGCAATAACATCATCTAATGTAAGATCATTATTGATTGATATATCCTACGTGATATTTGAAGTTGTAATTTCTTTCATTAATAGTATATTTCTATTATAAAAGTAAAAAAAATCAAAAAAATTGACTAAAATTCAACTTAATTATCATCTGATTTGATAGTTAAAAGTATATTTCTATTATAAAAAGTAAAAAAATCAGAAAATTAACTAAAATTCAACTTAAGATCTTTTTGTTTTTGAGACAATTTTTTTTCAGAATTTTGGTGAAATGTAAAAAGAGAAAATTTAGAAATGATTAAAATTATTTTTTAAAAAGTTAAAAAATTAAGCTTATTTATATAAATATTCCTATATACCAGAAATAAACTCAAATAGTACATTAAATCAATATTATTTTAGCAAATCAGTTTAATGTCATTGTTCTTAAGAAATTATAAAATAATTGTTCCTTAGGAATAATAAAGTAATCATCCTTAAAAAATAATAATACTATTGTACTTTAGAAATGATAAAAATTATCATCCCTAAGGAACAATAATACCATTATTCCTTAGGAATGATAAAATCGTTATATCTAAGGAATGATAATACTATCATTTTTTAGGTATGAAAAAATAATCATTTCTTAGAAATAATAAATGCATCGTACTTTAGGAATGATAAAATCATTGTTCCTTAGGTATAATAATATTATTGTTTCTAAGGAATGATAAATACATCATATTTTAGGAACGATAAAACTATCGTATCTTAAAAATAATAAAATCGTCATATCTAAGGTACAATAAATGCATTATTTTTTAGGAATGATAAAAGCATTATACCTTAGATATGATAATATCATCATTCTTAAGGAATAATAATACCTATCATATCTAAGAAATAATATAATTGTTCTAATCAAACATCAATCAGTTATAAATAAGATAGGTCAAATTTTGGCTAATTCTTAGCTAATTTCTGATGTATGCCAATTGGCTAAATTAAAGCTGATTTTAGGCTGATTTTAGATCAATTTTTGCATGTCTAATTTTTTTGATTTCAACTAGTGATATTATATAAAAATATATATATATAAAATAATTAATAATTTTAAGATGATTCATAATTTATTATTTAATTAAAAAAATAATACATTTATTAAGTATAAAAAATAAAATATAATGTATATACAGTATATAATAAATGTAATATAATATAATTTTTTGATTTTAAAAAAAATAAATAAAATATTTCAAAAACAAAACTATATAAATATAATAATAAAAGTATTAACATATTTTATGTAGATAAATAAATAAATTTTTTTTTTAGAAAATTAATTTAAGATTAAATATATATTACTTCTAAAAAGTCTATTTTCTTTAAAGGAATTAAGTAAGAAATGCTTCAATAGTTCATTTAAAAAGACTACACTTTTTACTAGTAAAATATTATAACTTATTAATATATGTTATCTTTAATATTATCCATAAATATTAAATACAAAATTATTCTTAATTCCACTAAAATTTTCAATATATTATATTCAGTATTATCTATAGTGATAAATATAAAGTCTTGTCTTTTAATTTTATTAAAATATCAAATATTTTTATTTATAGTATTATTAAGAAATTTTAAGTAAAACTGTTTAATAAATAAAATTAAAATAAGAACAAATAGTTTCATTTATTATCTTATTTTTTAAAAAAAAATTTCAAAAGTTATTTTAAATAATAATCTATTTTTACCAATTTTGAAATTACTAAAAAAGAGAAAGGTTTAAGTTAATTTGTCTGGATCTATAATTTTCATTTTAAACCAAAAAGTTAGAATAAAGATATTTTAATAATATTTGTCTTAAATAAATTTATTTATAAATAAATTATATATATTAATGTAATATTTTTAAAGAAGTTAATATAAAAGAATATATGAAAAATTTACTATAAAAATTAGGTTTTAAGAATTTTTTTGATTAAAATTTAAGATCTTATTACATTTAAAATCAAAAGTTAACTATATATTATTATAGAATTAATACTTTCTAATTTCAAATTAACATCTATTTACCTACCAAGTTTTCACTTCTCATGAATGACATAAACTTGGCTGAAATTAATTATATGAAAAATAAGATGATAATAGGATTTTTTACCAAAAAATTCTGTTTCAGAATATAATCTTTTAATTGAAAAATTCACATATAACTATATATTATAATTTATCAAATGAGGTATTTGAAGTGAGAATTTGTTTTTTCTTAATGATTAAATGGATTGTAAATCTAGTTTACTAATAATCTTCTTTGAGAACATCATCTTATATAAAAATAAAGTTAATATAAAATAAATCAAAAACAAAAGATTTTTTTGTATTACTTACTAATAGCATTATCTAAAGCATCTATTAAAATATAAAATTACATGTTAATGATAAACGGATTCCTAAATTTCTTAAAAATATTATAATAATTAATTACCAATATCTTGAATTCTTGATGTATGTAATCCATTACTTTGATCATATTCATAATCAAAATTTTCTTTCTGCTTTTGATCTAAAACTTCATTCAATTTTTTGGCAAAATCAAGTTTCTGACTTGAATAACATGCTAATGGATGGAATTTATTATTAACCATTTTAGATGAAATTAGAATATCATCATCTGCTTTCCTAAATTCCATGATATCAACTTTTGAATTTTCATCAATATAACCTCCTTTAATACCAGCATACCAAATTTCAAAAATGTTTTCAACTTCTGATGCGGATGGTCGTTTTGATGGATCTTTATTCCAACATTTTAACATTAAATCCACATAACATTTTGGAGTATTTTCAATAATTTCGGGATGTCGTCCTCTTATAATACTTAGAGCAAGATGAAAATCACTTTTCACGTTATTAAATGGAGGAACTCCAGATGTAAATTCCCACATGATCATAGCAAAACTATATATATCACTAGCTGAAGTGTAAGGGTTACCTCTCAAAACTTCAGGTGCTACAAATGGTAAGACACCATAAATATCATCTTTTTTAGAAGGGGATCGAAAATATTCTACAGGTTTGCACAATCCTAAATCATTAATAAACAATGAAGTGTTCTCATTATACCTTAAAATATTACCATCGTGAAAATCTGTATGGATAAGGTTTAGTTGATGTATTGATTGAAGTCCTTTAATAATATCATATAATAGGTTTAATTTAAAATCCCATTTGGATTTAACTATATTTGGTAAATTTTTTCTCAAGCTACCTTCCGCTGCATAAGTCATTACCACCATATAATTTAAAGTATTTGGATCTTGGGTAAATCCATAAAATTCAACAAGTTTGTTAGTTATCCGATAACACTTGTGATGATATTTCCACTACAAAATAGATGAAAAAAAAAAAATAATTTGAAAACAAGTGGTTAATTATAAATCAATAAAACGTTAACATCATACCTCATTTAAAAATTCATCACCTAAATTTGATGAATTATGAAGACTTTTAAGAGCCACCAATGTTCCAATAGGTCTATTCAACCAAATGGCCTTGTAAACGGTGCTAAATCCTCCTTTGTCAAGATATTCAATATCTTTAAGTTTATTATAGGGAATCCATTCTAATACCTGAATTGCTGATTGAGCGTTCTGTTGAGTTTCCTGTATAAATCGATCAAGAAATTGATTTCCGCTAGTCCAATTAGGAAAACCTTGTTGAAACCGTTTAGCGTTACATTCCTTACACCAATCACATGGTTCATAACAATATAAACATAAACCATAGTTCCTGTCTATTACCATCATGTAATCTTGAGTTTTGGGAACTTGAGTAAATCCATACATGGTACATTTGCGATGATATTTCCGATACTTTTCACACAGTATATGTATATGGAAACAAAGAAAAATTTAGTTTAAGATAATAATGATCAAAAGCCCATAATAATAATAAGCATAATTTATACCTTGATTAAAAATTCGTAGCTGAAATCTGATGAGTCATTAAGACTTTTAAGAGCTACATCGATTCCATGGTCAGTGCGCTTGTATCTACGCCATTTTCTTTCATTAATATTATGCCATTCCATGATGGGTCCATCCAACCAAATGGCTTGCCCCTTTTCAACTTCAAGATATTCAACATTTTCAAGTCTGTTATAAGGAATCCATTCTAATATTTGATTTTTATTAGTTGCATTTAATTGAGCCTCCTTTATGAATTTGTCAATAAATTCATTTTCACTAGTCCAATTAGAAAATCTTTGTTGAAACCGTTTAGCATTACATTCTTTACACCATCTGGAACCTGTATTTGGTTCCTTACAATCTGGACATAATCCATATGTAATCCCCAGATTATTTATTTCATCAAATTCCATGTTACGATTTTATTTTGTGCTGTGGCGTATTCAGTATATAGTAAGATATTCCAAAAAAAAAATTTCATCTTTTGTTACACTGTTGAAATATATTAGTCCGCGATAATGCTACGCACTTAATATAAATGATTAAAAAAAAATGCTGTTAAACAAGAAGTATTTGGCTTAAATTTATTACTATTAACCGGTCGGTCCGGTCAAAGCCTTTGACCGACCCTAATTAATTCCACCACCATGAATAGTGTAACGTATTCCAACATAATACGGGGAATGATGTGCAAACCACTGAATTTATTCTAAATTAGTTAAACTCCCGATTTTTATTAAATCGAAACGTGCATAAAATTTTGCTATTTGCATATGGAAAATTCTACATTTAATCTTACGATAATTCAATCATGGAATGTTGAATAATTTGATTGATATATATTACATAGGCGCAAAAAAAAAAAAAAGCCATTTTGGTTGTTATACAAATTGTGTTGATATTAATTCCTTTTTTTTTTTTATGCCAAGGAATCGTACAAAGTCATCATTATAAACAAAATGAATATCTGAGTATTCATCGACAAAAATTTAGTAAGAACGATATTGTGAGGTGAAAAAAAAAAGGTAAATATTACGGAATATTTGAAATAAAAATTTATAATAATCGGTTTCGAATTGTGCTAAAATTAAAAATTTAAGTCATATGAATTTTTTGTGTGCGAATATCATGTGTTTTCTTATATATAAATACGTATTCGACTAAAAAATTTTAAAAGTACTTTTAAAGAAAAAAAATAAATCTAATAATAATAATAATTAACACTCGATAATTTTATATCAAATAAAAATGGGACAGCCACATTCTACAACAGCTTACTATCTTTCAACACCACCAAGTTCATCTTCAAACTCTCCCTCCCATTCTCCACGTTCTTCTTCTCCAATTCAAAAGTATTTCCAAGCAGATTCTTCACGTATTCCCGGAAACGTTTCTCCGTTATTTCGATCTATTGACCCAAACACTTATGATGACATTCTAAAAAAATCAAAATATCAATTGCCATCAGAAAATGAACATGTAGATAGAATTCAATTAAGACATTTAATGTTTAGATACGTTTGGCAAGGAAATTTTTCGGCTCCTATGGAAGAAACATTAAAAAATGGTGCCAAAGTCCTGGATGTTGGGTAAGTTCAACTTTTCTCGATGAAAAAGTATAGTCGTTTGCAATTCCTAAAACCACATTCTTTCTTATTTAGGTGCGGGAGCGGTTCCTTTGTTTTAGATGTTGCATCGCAATTCCCAAACTCTAAATTTTATGGAATAGATATGGCACAAATGTACCCTTCCCCTGATGACCCCAAAATCCCACCAAATGCTTTATTCTCCCAAGTTGATATAGTGAAAGGATTACCTTTTGATGACAATACATTTGATTTTGTACATTTAAGATTCTTGGTTCAATATTTAACTGAGGAACAATGGAGTGAGAATGTCATAAAAGAATTGCTTAGGGTGACAAAAGTTGGCGGCTGGATAGAAATTATGGTAAGTTTCATAATTGACGAAATTCTTTTAATCTTTTCTGACACGTGACAATCTTTTTTTTTCTTCCAGGAACTAGATTTGATCTTTTATAGTAAGGGACCGGTTACCGCCAAATTACAGGAATCAAGTAAGTAAAAAAATAAAATAAATAAAAGATAAAAAAAATGATTTAATTTATAATAAAACATTTTATTCTTTTTTTCATAAATTTAGCGATATCATATTTCAATGCACGAAACATAAACTCGATAATATCGCCGCGACTTTCTCAGTTTCTTTCTTCATCGAATTCATTTTCTATCATACAACATGAGAAACGATGTACTCCATTAGGTCAATGGGGAGGAAAATTAGGCGAATTTGCATTGATTTACTTTACAATGGCATTTAAAAACATGAAAAAAGTTTTACCAACATTTATGGGAATTAACGAAAACGATTATGATGAAATTGTTGAAAGATTCAACGAAGAATGTGAAGGATATAGAACTTATATGAAAACATTTAAATATTGGGGACAAAAATGCTAAATAATATTTATTAGAAAAACAAAAAACTATATCTTATTAATTTAATTTTTTATTTTGTAAATTTATAATCGGTCCAAAAATACTTTCGTTTTTTTCCGACATTTTTTATTGGAATTGAAGCGACCAAATATTTGCTTATCAAATTATCCAATAAAAGTTATCCAATAAAAGATTAGTTAATGGCTTTTTTTTTAAAAAAAGTTTTATAAATATGACATGTCCTTATAAGGATTAGATACACCAAAGTTACGTTTTCATTCAATAAATCGGTTCTATTTTTAAATTTATTTGATCGCCAAATAGGCAGAATCTAAATATATGCACCTTTTTATATACACATACATATATATTTTTAGAATTTTGACTCTTTTTTTTTTAAAAAAAAAAATATAATCATCTGTTTCTTAAAAAAAAATAATCTATAAGGATGTTTGCACCATCAAAATCTATTTTGGATACCAAATTGGATTGGCAGTTAATTTACCTTGATAAATAATTTTATCTTTTATAGTCGTAGCATTAACAAATTCAAAATTCATTTCATTACCTATTATGGTAGCATGTAAAAATCCAAAAGTGCCTTCAGGCGCACCCCAATCTTTCCCATTGCAACCTGGACTCGTCCTGCTTCCGGCGCCAGAAGTAAAATATGCAACAGAAGAGTTCGGTTTAGGATATTGATATTCTAATGTGTGAGCATGACCTGCAAAATATCCTGATACTTTATATCTTTCAAATAACGTTGTTAACCTTGGCATGTAGTAATTTTCAACACATTTCCCGATTAATGGATGATGTCCCACCACAAAAATCCAATTTGCATCTTGTTGATCAATTAATTGTTCTTCTACCCATTTTAATTTTTCTTCGATTTCACCCTCGTCATCCCATCCCAACGTTCCAAATTTCTCTTTCATTCCTTCCTTTTTTATCTCATCATATTTATAATAAAACAAATTCGTATCAATATGTATCCATGTAACTTTAACCTTTTCTTCATTACCAAATACGCTTGTCCGAACATAAAATAATGATGGCATGAAAAATCTTGAATTTACATTCAAACTGTAATCGATTTCCGCCGTAACATTATTATACCTATATTAATTGAGTGACTTATATGATAAATAATGGTCCTCGTTTGTTAACAAAATTTGACACTTTTTTTCCTTGCTTACCAGTCATGATTTCCCGCTACGCTGTACCAAGGAATCTGTGCCAATTTTCCTTTGTACACATTTAACCAAGCCGTCTTCCATTTCGTATCATTCACAGAATCAACTCCTTGATGATCGCCTTCTTCACTTTTATAAAAGCTATCTATGGTTTGATGGACTTCATTATGCATGCACATATAAAGAAATTAGGTTCAAGTTACGAAAATACAATTACCTCCAACATTTATTATAAATCGTGAATCATGTCTTTCTGCCCATTTCTTCATAGCAAAGGCTACGTTCTTTTGGTTGCCATGATTTTTACCGATTCCTTTGCCTTGAAATCCCCAGTCGCCGAAGACCAAAAAGTCTAACTTATCATCCTCGTATACTTCTTTAAAAATGGTTGTTGATGGTTCTGATATTGCATGTACGTTATCATCTGGTGCACGCGACGGCATTAAAGATGCCATCAATAACCATTGTGTTGACAAAAATATAATTATTAAGATCTTATTAAGTAATTTCATATTTAATATTCTAGATGTATTTTTTTGTATATTATTTTTTTCATAAAAAATAAATTGATTAAACATATATAAATAAACTGTAAAACATTCTGACCCCCTTTTTATATAGAAATTTTCCCCCTTACTATTTGACAATGATTAACTAAAAACAGCAAATAAAAAAAAAGGTGTAATTACCGTGACACATGTACCGAGTCGATCTTTGCAACGGGTCCAAATCTTGTGCAACGCCGGGTCGAGATCAAAATCTCCAATCTCACAATTCAATCAATTATGGAAGGTTTTCAACTCTTAGAAACAATGCTTTACGAACGATCAATCGGTTAGTCTTTCGGCTTATTCGTTATCATCATAACTCATTAATTTATTCTTCTCGTTTGTATAATACCTTCTCATCTTCTCATAGGGTTCTACTTGCTAGAACCTCATTTAAATCGATTAACTCAATCCGCATCCTATTTCTCGGACGAGTCCAACGACAACTCGTTTGTAAATTGTACAATGTCAGATTTTCGGGAATTTATCAAAGCTAACTTGCAAGAATCCGTTAAAAATATCGGAGATGATAAGAGACGAATAGTAATGATTTTAAACATACAAATGTAAATAAAATCCTATTTTAAATTAATTTTATGTTTATGTAATAGGTAAGGTTAACGGTAGACAAGCAGGGAGTCCCAAATATATCAACCTTTGCATTTCAACCTATACAAGGTTAATTCATTTGGAATTAATCAAATTGATATTCGAATGTCCATTTTTTTCATATTCACTTTTTTTTTTTTTTCTTTTTTTTTATAAATAGAACCGGTAAAAATAACTTTAGACACGCAGCCAACCCTTTCTTCAAACAAATTTCTTTATCATAAAACAACCAAAAGAGATATGTACAACGATGCCAGGATTCGAGTACGTATATATTTAATAACATGTGTGCGTTTTGTTTTATAATTGAAATTTTTGAAATTCATTAGGTAGGGTTAGAATCCAAAGAGGACTTATTTGATGTAGTAATGTACAATGAAAAACATGAAATAACTGAATGTTCAATAGCAAATATTGCCGTACAATGTTATGATGCGGAAAATAATGTTAAATTCTGGAAAACTCCTCAAATCGAATGTGGACTATTGGGAGGCACGATGAGATCTCAATTAATAGAAAATGGAGATATCATCCCCGGTATAATATCATTGGATGATATAAAATTAGCACAACAGGTGTGAAAACAATTCATTTTATTATAACAAATGTTTTTAGAATGAGAATAAAAATTAATTGAAATCCACCCTCCGTTTTTTTAAATTAGCAAGGAAGAAAAATCAAATGTTTCAACTCGGTGAAAAAAGTATATGAAGCCATTTTAGTTTAAAAATTCAAAATTCATTTATTCTATTTATTTTATAACTTCCATATTGCCCATCCACTTTCTTAATACTTTTGGTATCGCAACGCTTCCATCGTCCTTTTGAAAATTTTCTAATAAAGCTATAATTAATCTAGGAACGGCGATTGCAGTTCCGTTTAGCGTATGAACAAATTCTGTGACGTTAGATTTATATCTTATATTTAATCGACGAGATTGATAATCGGTACAATTGGACGCCGAAGATATCTCGCCCCATTTTCCGCGACCCGGCATCCAAACTTCCATATCATATTTACGATATGCGCTCGCCCCCAATTCGCTTGTTGGCATGTCCATCACTCTAAAACATAACCCTAAATCCTTGTAAATTTCTTCTTGCAATTCAATGATCTCCTCAAACATTCTATCACTTTGATCATGTCCAGTCAAAGTGAATAATTCAACTTTACTAAACTGATGCACGCGATATAAACCCTTAGTCTCTAGACCTCTTGCACCAGCTTCAGCTCTAAAGGCTCTACCAAATCCAACCAATTTGATTGGTAATTCCTTATGAGATAAGATTTTATTTGAATATAATCCTGCTAATGGAATTTCCGCCGTTGCCGATAATATTAAATTTTGTGAACTTTCATTCGATATAAAATAGTTTTGTGAAAGGTTTTCATCATCTCTTGGTTGAAACCCACATGCATCACTAAATTCATTTCTAATTACATCAGGTGTAATTATAGGTTTGAACCCTTTTTGGATGGCTTTCTCGATTCCATATTGAATCAAGGCTAATTCTAATAAAGCCCCTTCATTCATTAAATAATACCAACTTGATCCCGTGACATTTGATGCTTGATCCAAATTTATCAAGTTCAACTGTTTACAAAGCGTTAAATGATCTTTTAATGATGTAACTCCCTCGGGGGGTGTTGACTCCCCAATTCTTTTAATTAGTTTGGCATCTTCTTCCTTACCAATAGGAGTATTAGGATGTGTATCGTTGGGTATTTTTAATGCTTCTTTTAATAATTCTTTTTCGATTTCTATTAATTTCGATTCCTCTTTTTGAATTCGTTGTTTAAGTTTTTTTGCTGCTTCGATGAAATTCGCCCTTGACTCTTCTGTGGATAGGAAAGATGTTTTATTAGCAGATCTTGATAATTCATTATGTTCCGAGCGAAGCGCATTTAATTCCGTCGTAGTGTTTCGAAATTTTTCATACAAGGAACAAACTGTAAAAATATTCGCATCTTTTATATTACGATTTATAATATTTTGCGAAATTTCTTTAGCATTCGATATGAAATGTTTATAATTTAAATGTGGTGACAAGTATGATGATGTATGTTGAGATTTTGTTGAGTATGGTTTATCTTTAAACGATAAATAAAGATTGGAACGTGAAGCATTACGAAAAGGTATGAAGTTTTTATACATTGGATCATGTTTGGTGTAAAGAGCAAAAAAAAAAAAAAAAAAATTATTTATGAAAAAGGTTTTGATTGGATGATCACAGAGCGCGTCTAAAAAGTTTTTTTATTTTCGGTTCGAAACATTGTCCTTAAATATTCGATTTTTGTCAATTGTAATAATTCTAAATACTTTTAAGAGAAAAAAAAAAAATTAATTTACACGAAAGAATTATTATTATGAAACGAAGTAATATAAAAAGAAAATTATTATAAAAACCTAATCTATCTAGGTTAGGGAAATTTTTGTACAATATAACGAAGAATTACATATACTACATATTATAAATAAAGGAATTTTCATAGATTTTTTGTTGTGATGGTGTTATAATTATATTTGTAATTATTTTATGTGGTTTTTTTTTTTGTGGTTGTGTTTGTGAATTATATGCTTGAAAAAGTGTGATTTTTTGTAAACATGCTTTTAAAGTGTGAAAAAATGAAAGATTTTGCCAATTATAAACGAAAAGAAAATTATTTGATTTTGCCAATAGGTACGAATTAAAAAAAAAAAAAAAGGATTCTATCACGAAAAAAACGATTAATTCTAAAAGGAAATTTTTTTTTTCCGTAAATCAATTACGGTTGGTTTTAAAAAAAAAAAAACAAAAAAAAAAATTAATTCTATTAAATATTATTATTCTAAAAAAAATTATAATTTTGATCTAGAGTTCTGCAACTCTATTATTCTCATTACATGATTCTTTTTGTCTCTGTCTTTTTCCGGAACGGCCAGCAGCCCATCCGACAAATAAAACGGCCATATATTTAATAACTTTAATCATCATAATCGGATTATTCCCACTTCGCCTTCCCCCTGCTCTACTTCTAATATTTCTAGCCGCAATGTTCATTATTGCTGGTGCTACGGGGGAATTTGAAACAATTGCTTGTGACATTGAGAACATAAATCCCATCATTGCCAGAAAATTCATGCACTTTAAGGCTAGCGATTGAAGCTTTTTAGATTCTTTAGTGAGACCTAATTGAGATGATTTTTCTTCATTATTATTGGTGGTAGTAGTCATAATCGTATTTTTATCATCATTATTATTATAGTAATTGTTCGTTATGGAAGTGGTATGACTACTATTATCAATATCATTGAAATAATTATTTGTCCTTTTCTTGTTATAATTATTTGTTGTTGAATGAACTAAATTTACATTAAAATTAAAAATATTTTGTCCAAGGTTTAAAGTATTAATAAAAGATGATGGAAATGGATTTGATGGATCTTCTTCTCCCTCCTCGTTAGAGTTTTCTCGATAATCACGAGAAGATGGATTCCATGAAGAATTATATGAACTATACGAACTGTAACCATTATCCTCCTCCACATTTTCGTTAGAATTCTCTTTGGAAATGTTATCTTTATTATTATCTTTATTATTAACGAAATTTACACGGATGTTTTGTAAACAATTCCAAATACGTCTTCTCCATTTCGAAGATTTTTTTTCATGATCCACATTACCATTATCATTGTTTAAAACATCTTCCTCCAATTCCCTAAATTGTTCGTGTTTACCAAAAATTTCAAAGGCTTTGGAAAAGCTCGTTGGAAATCTTGAAAATTTATCATCATCATCACTCGTTTCATCATCATCATCATCATGATTCCTAAAATAATTATAACGATTTGATTCATATCGTTGAGTACCTTCACCATCTTGGAATTGTTGATAAACAGGAGAATTCATTAAACCATGTTCCACCCCTGTTGAAATGGCCGTAGTAATTAATTTTTGCAATTCCATTTCTAAATCTTCACAACTCTTTCTATAATCAAACCTTCCTTCCAATTTCTTACGATATTGCTTCTTTATCCTTGCTAATTGAACTTGTCTTTTATCAGATTCTTGTTGAGGTTTCAAAGAAAAAGAAAATTTTCGGGTTAAAGAAATTGAATTTGCTCTTGAAGATTTTGGAGTTGTTCTTGCAGTGGTTGTCGTGGAAGGTAAACTGCTACCACTTGATTCTAAACATAACCAACATATTCCGCATTCGCATACTATTGGGGAAGGATTATAATGATTGATTATCCAACTACCTACATTTGAGCTCCAACTTTGCGCTCTTGGGCGTGTCGTCGTTTGTGGAAGTCCAAGCAATCGATGCGATGATGATGATGTTGTTGTTGTTGTTGTTGTTGATGATGATGATGAATCTGGTTTTTGTAAAGCTACTTGTGCATCATCTATTAAATTTTGTAACGCGCTACATATTCTATCGATTGATTCGTCCGTGTCATCAGCATGTTGTAGCGTTGATAACTCAGGTGGTGAAGCTGGTGCAACAATTGATTCATTATGTGATGATAATTTTGGAGAGGTGATCTCTTGTACCTTATTCATGATAATAGGGGATTCTTTGTGGGTTTGATCAATCAAAGATGAAGGAAGATAGAATTCATCATCATCTAGATCATCAATCTTCATGTTATCATCATTCTCCAATTCTTGATCAGCATCAACAGCTGTTGTGTGACTAACTGACCTGGAATTTAATGACGGGTAAGTCGGTATAACATTCGAAAAAAAGAACATGTTGATATTGATTTTAATTCGTTACTTACTCATTTTCTGATAACAAATTTTTTAATTCTTCGACAATTACTTGACTGGTTTGTTCGGTCCTAATAATACGCAAAGTATATCAATTTAACTTTAATTTCGAAATTTTTAATTGAAAAGAATAAATCAATTCATATTTACAGTTCCAATCTGGATTCAAGTTCAACGACCAATGCTTTAGTCTGTTGTAATTCACCGAGTAATTGTTGTATTAAATCTTCTAATGGTAGCTAATAAAAAAAAAAATGAAATGAAATGATTACATGATTAAAACCGAATAAAGTCCGTGATGAGAATGATGTAAACCTTTTATTGTGGTTGTACTTACATCACTGTTTTTCACATCATCATCTTTCCCATCCTCCTCTTCTTGATACTCTTGTTGTCGATTCATTCCACATTCGCCTACAACAATATTTTGATTATTATTACATTTAACCAAACTAGTTGTAATAAAAGAAGAATTTCTTCGACAACGTACTGTTGTTGTAGCTGAGGAAATTTGCTTTATTGGAGTATCATTGAGGGAAAGTTCTATCGGAAAGTCGTGCATGATCACTTTTTGAATATTGAAAAGCAAAAAGAATTGGATGTGCCCAGCAATCCTTCATATACGGTATTATAATTAAGAAAGATATTTTTTATTAAAAGCTTGCATATAGTAATAAAGAATAAACTATTGGTTCAATCAAAAAAAAAAAAAAAAAAAAAAAAAGAACGGAGAACGGAGGACAATCTATTTTAAAGGAGCCGTATTGATTCTAAGGTAAAAAAATTAAAATAAAAAAAAAACCAACCGCTAAGGAAACAAAAAAAAAAAAGAGAGAAGCCGGGAAATTTGAGGTATTTAAATTAGTCAGGAAAATTCTAAAATAAGATATTTTTCCAAGATCAGATCAAATAATCGGGCTGACAACTTTGAATTAAGAAAGAGATTTTGAGAGTCACCATAAAAAGAGTAAGAAAAGGTTAACTATAAAAAAAAAAATTGTTGATGTGGTGTTTATATAAAACTTAAATTTCTGGATTCCTTTTAGTAATGATGCATATTTTGTGTAATACCACGTTCAATTCGTCTATACTTTCCGAATATTTAAATTTTTTTTTTTTTTTGTTAAATAAGGAAATGATATTTTGATTTGACACATGAGAGAAATCAATTAAAAAATAAAGGAACTCCAAATATAAATCATAACAAATAATCTACATCTAACAAAGAGGTTCTTAGAGTTTATCACTACCTTCTTTAAATGCAAGGCGTTAAATCCATGCATTGATGAAACATTACATAGGGATTTATGATAAACAGATATAAAGAGATGATCGATTTTTCACGTTATTTATGAAGGATACGAGATGGAACGTGGAACGGTCACTCCAAAGAAGACGGTACATACCGCAATGTTGAAACGGACGAATTCATTATTTAATGCTTTAAGTTTTCCGGTTCGAACAGGGAACCAATTAACTAATAATAATAAAAGAGCATGTCCTCGTGACGATGCCTTGTGAAGCGGTGACACAAATAATTGGTCGCTCGGTCCAAGGATTATCCATTTCGGGATGACTAAAATTCATACTCATTCAAGATTTTATTTTTGATTTTATTACAATCAAACAAACAAGATAATCAATATGATCCTTACGATTTTAAAGTTTTTTTTCAACTGTGAATTTGTCATTTGACATTATTAAATTATTAATTTTATTTATATATAATGAAAGGTTCATGTGAAAAGAATTTTTTTTTAGCTTGATTTCACTTTGATATTAAAATATCTTTCAAGGTAATATTGACCTTGAGAATTTCCGGATTTTGCGGATTTTAACAACCATTCAAAAGCTTTCTTTGTGTCTTTTTCTACTCCAATTCCATCATGATAACATCTACCTAAATTGAATTGACCAATGTGATGTCCTCTCTTTGCAGATTTGGTATACCATTCAATAGCCTTGACCGGATTCTTTGAGGTTCCCACACCCACCTCGTAAAAATAACCCAAACTATTTTGTCCAAAGGTATTCCCACCTTGAGCACTTTTCTCGTACCATTCAAACGCTTTTCCTTCATCCTTATCGGTTCCAATCCCATTCTCATAGTAATACGCCAAATTACATTGTCCGTTGATGTTCCCTCCCTTTGCGGACTTTAAATACCACTCAAAGGATTCCTCGTCATCCTTTTCTACTCCGATTCCTTGCTGATAACACCACGCTAACGAACATTGTCCTTTGGAATTTCCTCCCATCGCCGACTTCATGTACCAATCAAAAGCCTTCTTACCGCTCTGTATCGTTCCTATCCCATACTCATAACAGTAACCTATTTCATATTGGGATGCGGCATTTCCTTCCTTCGCCGGTTGATAACTCCACTTTAACGATTTTTGTCTATCCACGATAATATCCTTGTAATAATATAATGCTAATAAATATTCCCCGACCGATTTGTTTATGTTTTGTAAATGATTATAAATATTTTTCCCCAAATTATCTTGTTTCGTGGTGATCTTATACAATTCTAATGCCTTCTTATTATTAACCTTATGTCCAATTCCATATTGATAAAAAAATCCCAAAAGCGAAGAGAAATATTCGAGGTGATTATCTTGATAAAATTTTAATAAAACTTCAAATATATATTCCACCTTGATCCTTTTCATATTCTCTTCAATGTAATTTCTCATCCAATCCGTCGCATACTTATCGAATCCTTTAAAATCTTCCGTGTTCGTTAAAATATTCTCAAAATCTTGTAATAATTCTTGTAAAAATAAAATTGCTACTTCTTCTTGTGATGGTATATTTTTCGTTGATGATTTCTCTTTATCGTCAATTGAATGTTGAACTTTTTGAATTTTCACATCCACTTCTGGAAGGATTGCGGGTAAATTTATCTTATTATCTGGAATATCTGGAACATTTGGAACATTTGGAACCTCCTTTGAATTCAGTCGATATTGAAAGAATTTGGATGTTCTAGAAGCAAATATTTCGTTCTTTGCTATTGATTTTAAACTTTTAAATTTTTCTGTTTTACTTAACACTGAAAATGTCGTCGACATTATTATTTATCTTATATTATTATTAATTTTCTTTTTTGATTTTTTTTTTTTTTTTTTTTTAAAAAAAAAAAAATTAACTAGAAAGAGTTTATTCTTTCTTTTAAAATATTTTTTTCTTTCTTTTGTCTTTTTTTTTTATCCAAGCATAATACAGTGCAGTGATTATTCAATCACCTTTAATAAGGAAACAAAGTTTTTGTGTAACTATAAATCGTTCACCTTATTTTGCGCATTTGTTTTGATCCGCTAATTTGTTCGATATTCTGTGCCATATAAAATTAATTACTGTTGCATCACATGGTAACATGAATTAGAAGATACCATGATGATAGTTATGCTAATCATAATGAGGTTCGCTGTCGAGAAAAATCTTGAAAAAGAATCACTTATCTAAAAAAACCATCCCTACACTTGATGACCTGATTTCGAAACATTCTTAAACACTTCTGACACTTCTGAAAGTTTCTTGGATGATGATGAAATCATTAATACATGCAATTTGTTGTTGTTTGTGTTGTTCCGATGCATGTAATAAATTTGGGCATATAAACATTATCACACCCACCCATTTATTTATTTATTTATTTTTCGTATTCATGGACCTTGAACTGTACATGAGATAAGTTTTATTTATCTATAATGAGCTTGGTTCAGGCAAATTTTGATAGAATTCAAAATCAAGTAAGATATAATTGATAATTAAATGAGGAAAGATTAGATTCACGATCTATAATGGATGTAACATTGCATCAGTCATATTAATTTGTTTTCTTTATATTTATTATTAAATATATATAAAATGAAAGTCAAAAATTAGGTAACACATAAGCATAAGGTGTGTTTGTCGATTATTTTAAAATTCAATATCATAAAGAAATTTCCTGATTTTGAAGAATCAAAAAAACTAATTGAATAGTACTTGCACGAGATAAGGACTAAGGTCATTCATATCTTATATATAAATACAGTTTCCTCCAAAAAGTATCCGGTCTTGATTTTTATTATTTTTTTTTCAAACTTGCACATAATAAACTTATCTGAATTTTTTTAAAACGAAGGTGTTAGCATTATCGCGGAAGACCTTATTCATTTCAGATGACAGTTTTCCCGTGCATATTGTCAAAGATGTAAAAAGAATTGGATCATTGAAAAAAAAAAATTAAAGTTCTACCAGATTGCCCTCTCAATCTCATTTGATAGAACATTTTTGGAATGAACTGAAACAAAAAGTACGAAAACGCCATATCAATCTTAAAGAACTTGAAATGGGTTTACAAGAGGGACGAAAGTTCCATCTGAAGTTTATATCAATTTGATCGTTAATGACACGTTTAAAGTTTATATCATTTGAAAATTTTAAAATAAATTACTGATGATAATTAAAGTAACAAAAATTATATTCTTGTGTCCTTGCGTTAAGCTTGTTTTGTGCAGGTATATTTAAAATTATTAAATCATCAGCGCATGTGTTACCATACGGATAATAGTTTGTGCGAAGCTAATTTGGCTAAATTTAACCTACAAAGCTTTCCAAAATTAAGATTTCATGGGTAAGTTTACATCAATCACTTAAATTCCGGATATATACATGTAGAATGAATATATTTACTTTCATTGGTTTAATTTCATGATTATTTTCTAGACGTTTCTTTTATCATAGGTTGACCTTTAAATTCATAAATTAATTATGTTAATTCGTATGCTAAATGGTCTTTGGAAATTATTCCTCCCAAAAAATTGCTATAATTTGTTTCTTTAATTATTATATTTATCCAAATACGTTAAAAGACTTTTTTTTTTAATTACCATCCCATAAAAGGCTATGTTAAACAAAAGATTTGTAAAAGGTAATAATCTTTGGCAAATGACTTTGAAATGTTTGATATGTTAAGTCCCCATCTCATGGTTCATGTTAATCACGAAATATCTGACAATCATGTCCAATAGGGAGTTATTGAAATATAAACCAAGCCTAAAGAATTTTTCTATCTTTGGAATCCCTGAGTTAAATGATTTTGATAATGAATTTCTCATTACACTAAGAACTATAATATCAGAATATACGCGTTCGCTTATGATTAAAACTAATCATTACCCAAATCTACCTTTTATACACTTGTCATTTCAAATTATCCAAATTCCAATGCTTATGGTACATCCTCTTTTGAATGTGATAATAGTGCATTACCAAAGTATTTTAGTTTATTTTCCAAACAAGAAAAGAATTGTGATCCAGTTTTTCTGAAACAAAAACAACGTGAAGTTAAAGCAAAAACTATGCTGTGTACTCAAGTCTCTTGTATTTGCAAAAATGAACTTTCAACAAAGCAACTGATAATTTGAAACATTACTTCTTCAATCCAGGTATGTTCTAGTTGATTAAATAATTATTATTTTATTGAGCAAGTGATTCGTAATATTAAATGAACGTAATTTTTCGTAAATCATCTAATAAATGTCAGGCTGATTTTTTTTTCTTCGAAATTTTCTGAGCCACTATAAGTTTTAATTTATATTCACTTGATGGATTATTGATTTCAATAAACTTTAAATTATAACCTTAAATTTAACCTGCAAATTTTTAAAAAGTTATAAATGTTTGTAATAGCTTGTTTTAGAATGAATAAATTATACAACCACTTATGACAATTATACTTTAGCCGTGGAATGATTTTAAGTTTATTTATTTCTTTTTTGTACCGATAGCATATAGGCAGAATTTACTCTTAATCACATGAGCTTGACACTGTCCTACCATTATACTACCCTAAAGGCTTGCCATTTAGTATATAGTTTGCAACAGCAAAAGTTTAATTACAGTAACTATGAGCAATGCATTTGATTGGTGGATTTTTGCCACCGTGGCAAAATATCCAATCATGAAGTTACTATCAATTTTTTTTTAATTACAAAAAAAAAAGTATTGATGGTTTTCAGACAGAATATCTATTTTTTACAAGAATAATTACATACGCAAAAAATGGTGGGTATAAATATTCCCATCAATTATTCACTCTAAGTTAAAAAAGAAAAGTTACAATATTTTGAACAATTTTACAAAGTTTGACTTTTCATCATTTGCCCTATTTATTCAAGATGCTAAACCTGATCAACCCAAAATGGAACTATTCTTATCAAAATCCAAACATGATGTGAAGATTGGGTTCCTAGAAAACGTTTTATGATGTCATTATACCTTTTAAATGAAAAAACATAGAGAGTGACACTTCAAAACTGTTATCTTATATTAAATAAGCTATCACGATTAAATATAAAGAGATGTTAGAATAATTAAAAATGTCAACTTAAAATTAAAAAATTGATAGACAATGATGAAAATCAAGATGTTGAGAATGATGATTGGAAAGGAGAGTCTAATAATTCAACGTTAATAACAAAAGATGAAAATACTTTCATCAAAGTATTATAAACGTGTATAGAACCTCTTGATATATCATCAAGCAAAGCATGGTCTATCAATCATCAATCAGACTCTTGATCAATATATAGATGTAGGCAAATTAATTGCTGATCTTGTAGATGAATTGAGAACAAGTTTTAAATCTCCTTCAACATTCAACAGCTATAGAAACAAATATTTTTATGATCTTAGGATTTAATTAAGGTGATTTTACCTTTTGGTTTCAAAGAGGGTGGTTGAATACCCATGATGCATAATTTACATAGATTTTATAATATACTGTTCTATGGAGAAAAATAAGAATAAATTGGACTTTAGTATAATTAATTAAACTGATTAATTCATTTTTCCTGACGAAAGAAGTTCTTTTATCTTTTAATTTTATTAATACTTACAACTTTAGTAATAATTTTGATGATACATGTATCAATTATAGATTTCTTAAATTGGGAAGAATTCAACAACATTAGTTATGATATCAAATCCGCGTTGATCATAGTTTGCATTAATAAATACAGACAATATTTTTTAACTCTTCTTTTGCTATAGATAGATCTTTGAACATCCAATAAGCAGGCGGACAAGGAAATAGATTAAGGAAAAAATGATGAAAACAGATCAGAATTTCAGTATATTCTTGGTACAATAAATTGAATTTTGACAAAATTTTTTTTACGAAAGATTTTCATGATATTAGAGATGCATTTTAGATATAAATATTAAGGAGAATAAGAAGTATGCTTGATAAGAAGAGTTTTTATTATTGTTAAAAAATTAATTCATGGAATTAAAGATTTATTTCAAAAAAAAAAATTCCGAAATTATCGAAAAATATATATATATATAAATCAGTATCCATTTTTTTGAATTATTACGTTTGATAATGAGTTATCATAATCATTCCTAGTTAAAATTTTGATTTTTAATAAATTGGTCTATTATGACATTCTTTCTCTCTTTCTCTTGAAAGTATGCTTAAAAATTTTGTTTTATTATAACAACTAGCGAAATAGTGGAAGAAGTGGGCAAGTTTAGTATATTTTTACTTGTTTTTCTTATTATTATTATTTTCTTCCTGAATAGGCTGAGTAGTAGACGAATAGAGTTGCGGCTGGAAGTATGACTTAGGGATACTAGACTTGGACTTCAAACATATGCAGAAGGGGGTTGACAGTAACCTACTCATGGGTTTCTTTGATAAGGGTCTACTTTTTCTGAAGGAGAAATTAGCTATGCACCTTTCTTTACAGATCAATTAAACTGCGTTCTTAAGTATGCCTAGCTTCTCACTTCCTGAATCCTCTTAGCTTCGCAAGTCTGGCTGCAGTAGAATATGTAAGTTATTTATTATTTTTTTTCTAATCATTAATCTTGTCATATAAGTTTTATAATTTTTCTCGTATCATTAATTATAATTATAGAATAAGGATTAATAAAAGATATAAAAGATGTACACTTCCCTTCAAAAAATATCTGATCACTCAACTTTTTGATGTTTTATGCTAATATCTCATTAGCTATAAATATATTAATTTCTGAGATTTAATAAATATTTCAAACATAATTTGATATCTGATTAATAAGTCTAATTTTGTACAAATCAGTGATCTACATCTGTAACTAGCACTTAGTAAAATTTCAACTATGAATAAAATTGTAGCCAAATTAGCTACAACAAAGCCTTTCATATATATGATTAACTTATTTTAGAAGAATTAATATACCAAATTTCATAAAGATTTGATTAGTGGTTGCTGAAAAATTGAACTTCAAAGGTTGGAAATTTACATATAAAATAATCAAAATTAATTTTTTTTACATGTAACAGCTAGTCTTTGAAGTTTAATATCTCAATAACTACTGATTAGATCTTTATGAAATTTGGTATACTGGTTCTTTTAAAGTAAAGCAATAATATATAATATAGATTTTATTGTAGCTAGCTTGGTTAAAATTTTGTTTGATGATTAAAAAATTTATTAAGTATTAGGTATAGATGTAGATCACTGATTTATACAAAATTGGACTTATTAATCAGATATCAAATTATGTTTAAAATATTTATTAAATTTCAAAATTAATATATAATTATAAATCATTATTCTAATATTTATAGCTAATAAGATATTAGTATAAAATATCAAAAAAATTGGGTGATCAGATATTTTTTGGAGAAAAATATATATAATAAATAAAGAACTCATTATTTTTTAAAAATTTTAAAAAATTGAAAAGATATTCAAGAAATATCATCTATATTAATTATATATTTAAAATTCAAAAATAAGAAAAAGCTTTAATACAAAATAATTAGTTTGAATTTATTTTCAGAAAGAATTTAAACTAAACAAATTATTTATTAAATTCAAAAATTAAAAAAAAATTATTTCAATATTAAATGTTAGTTAAGTTTTATAAATTGATCTATTATAGTTATTAGACTCAAGTTAAAAAAATTAACTCAAGTCAAATAGAGTCAAGAAATTTTTTGACTCGAAGACTACCTGAATCAGAATTTGAGTCAGAATTCTAATATAGTATTCAAGCATTTGACTTAAGTTAGCATTTGAATACTATATTTTTGAGTCTTATTTTTTTCATGAGATAGCTTTTAATTTTGAAATTTAGCATAAATAGCATTTATTAGCGAAAAATAACTTAAATAACATTATAAATAAAAAAATTATTTTACATTATGTAATTAATATTATATTTAGGGTCATTGACAGATATTAGCTGACATGTTATTTATTATAGATCCTCCCCCCTTCTGAGGAATGGATATGTTATATAAGAGTTAATCAGCAAAGATTTTATATAAATATAATATATGTTATACACATTTTACGCTATTCGTATTACTGCACTTTCTTTTTATCTGCTTTTTTAAATAGTTATATTTACAAACGAAGTATAAAGTGAAAATAATTTAAAAGAGTAGCATCAATAAATCATAAAAACAATCATAAAAAAGGAAAATTTTGACTTTTTTTAATATTATGCCTTTCATCTTACCACGCCTTAATTAATCAAAAAATCATAAAAAAGGATAAAAAATTAACCTTCTTATATATTAATTAATTTTTATTTGACTTTCAAAATTCAAAAATTCCTAATTATGCCAAAATATATAAAAATTATATTTATAAAAATCCAACCACACAACACTAACTTTTTACAAATACATTTGCATATCATTGTATGATAAAAACAGAAAATCTTACATAAAAAAATCAGATCTTTGTTTAGAATCTACAGAAGCATAGAAAGAAATTAAAAAAAGCTAAAAGAAATTGCAAATCAAATTGAAACTTATCTTACTATGCCAATTCCTTTACATTTGCAAGGTTTTGTATAATCCTGTTCTAACCTTTCACAATTGCCTGATAATCCTCAAATATTAAATTCTTCTAAAAAGCCAGATATAATCATCATTAAGAAGGAAATACCTAAAAATGCTGCAGCATAAAAAAAAGCTCTTACAATAAAAAAAGAAATGTTCACAAAATTACTTGATTTACAGGTAACCTATGAAACAACTAGAGATCCAGAATTAAAACATGAAATTTTATAGCGAATTGCAATAACAATAAAAGTAATTACTGATAAGACTAAAAGAATTGCAACATTGAAACGAAATGCAGCCTATCAAGCCAAATCAGCAGCAAAAAAATTAAAAATATTACATGAAAATCAAGAAGTAATAACATATGATTTATCTGAATGACTATCAATTTTTTACAAATATCCTGATTTTTATGAACACATTCATGATTGTATTGAATTTGAAAAAACATATGAAAAATAATAACGTGAAGTGATTAAAGTAAGAATTATTCACCATCTTCGTTCAACATTATAAGAGAAATATATGAGTATCTTACAAGAACAATATTAAATACATATATTTTACCATGAAATTCTTCAAGTTTTGCTGCCAAAGCATATCGTTATCCTACATTAGTAGCAATTGCAGGTGTTTCAAGAACAGAAAAAAAAGAACATATAGATGAGCATTATTGTCTTTCTTCTATTAAAGGAATAAGGCAGTTTGCAGCATTATTTTCTTTCCAATCTATTATTATTTCACAAAATGATAAAGCAAAAATTCCACTTGGTATTCCTGCTGTTAGAAGAACTTTTCAAACAATACAATCAATAAAAGAAGCTGTTTTAATTGTAGATCATGATTTCTCAATTGAAGTTCAGCAAAAATTAATTCTATCTGTTTATCTTGCTATTGATCCTTCAGATTCCAATAATGCACTTTATCATGGTCAACTAAGTATTTTTATTCATTTACAATATAATGTAAGTACAAATGCAAATATATATATAGCTGATTTGATCTCTCTTACATGTTAAGAATCATTTGCCAGCATTTAAAAATAATGATCAAATTAAACTAATCTGGATTCTTCTAGTTGATGGAAGACCAGATAAAATTCTCAACATCTAAAAAATATATATGAATATTGCAAGTTATTTTGATATTTTGATCTTAACTATTTGACAATAAGAACTCACGTTCTAGATCAATCAGCTTATAATTCTGTTGAAAGAAATATGTATACTCTTTCTGAAAAATTAGCTAGCATAACTTTACAAATAAATATATTTAGCTCTCATCTAAATAGTCAAAGAAAGGTCATAAATCAAGATCTTGCAAAAAGAAATTTTCGTCATGCTGAAGAAGCCTTATGCAATTTTTAGAATCGAGATCAAATCTTTGAAAAACTAATATTAACCTAATATGTTAAAGATAATATTTCTTCATTTTCAAATATACTCTTTATGAAAGATAAAATATTTAAACAGCAAATTAATGAAAAATCTAAAGTTCCTTAAAAATGGATAGAGAGGCATACTCAAATTTGTCAATATAGCCTTGATATTAAAAAATGCAATAACATTACTTATTATAATCCTATAAAACATAAAGAATCAGCTGCTTTTCTTGCAGAAAATAATGGCTTTTTGTCACTAGTTACAAAAGGTCAAGATAGATATTTTCTTAATCTGATTTATATTTTACAATATATTAACAAATTAAAATTACCACCTTATGATGCTCATTGTCTATCTGTTTCATTTGAAATGCATACCTGTTTTTGCTACACCATATATAACAAATATTTTCTAACATTAATAATGGTGGCAAAATACAAAAAATCAGAATATATTAACTCAAAAAGAAAA